TACTGATGGACGAGATCCGTTCGCACTTTGAAACCACGGGAAATCAGTATTTGTTTGTTGGTATTTACAGGGGACTGGGTTTCTTGGGTGGTGCTGGATTTCGTCCATCCACAGCAGGAACCCGCGCACTGCGGATGGGCCAACTCCTGACTTTGGGAAATGAAATCCTACGACAAAGCTGGGGGGACAAGCCACCAACCAAGGACATTTTGTCCATCCGTCCAAACTCGAGGCCGCTGCCGCGTCCGTTGGGGCCGGAAAGTGCCCCGCAATGGCCGGCCTGATGTGACCCCAACCCTCACTGGACTGGCGAAAAGCCGAACTCAACGCCTGTGTCCCTCAGGAAGGGGCCCTTGATTTGCTTTAGCCGCTTCAAGCCAAGAAGGCCTTCCCACCCCCCAAAAAAAGAACCGGAGAACCGGACCTTAAAAATGTTCCCTCGGGCTGTGGGGCCGCTGAGTCCTTCGCGTCTGCATGGGAATCACCATGCTGCCAGCTGCCAAAGCACCTGGGTATGGGTCACAATTAAACCACCAGGACATGGACCGCAGGTTCAGCTGGACCGCAGGAATGAGTGAAAGTGTTCCCATAGGGCAAGCCATGTGCCGTCAGTACCTATGTTTGACAATCACGGCCACCTTAGTTTCCGAACCGCCCATCCCACACCGCTACCCAGCGAAAAAGAAAGTGTATACAACCTCTAGCTGCGAAATGGAAATCCATGCCCAAATGTTCCCCAGAAGTGGGTTGGGTAAAGTTTGGGCAGTGGAAACCATCCCAAACTCCTAGACATGAATACGGCACTTCAACGTGCAGCCTGGGACCCAGACACTTTATGGTGCTACGCAAACATGGCTCGTGAGTTGATGTAAGCGGTCTCTCGATTCCGTAGCTTGTGAACATCTGCGGTACAAATCCAGGCTCTCTCTCTCTCTCTCTCTGTTGTTTTGGTGAGTTCACGCTGAGGCTGATGTCCATATGCTGTTTACTGTGTGCTAGCTGCTCGCAACCTGACCATGTGAGCCCGACGTCTGAGCCGCGTCAAATCCCACCAGACGCGGCAAGCTGCGGCTGCTCGACATTGTAAACATCGGCTGTCTTTGACGAGGGGGCCCGCCAACTGCCGTCGTTGACTTTCACATCAGCCCAAACCTGGCAGTGACAAAAACCCGCGCAACCAATGGCTCAGATCCATCCGGTCAGACGATACTTCAAGAGGGACCCTGAAAGCGCAGTACTTTCTCCTTTGGCTTTCCAAAGCGAAGTCGAGACCGCGCTGTCCGAAGTCTGCGCAGCCTCCCTGCAAGTCCGACATGGGAACTGGCTGATTCAACTGGTGGGGCCATTTTGGAGGGGCCATGACCTTCACTTTGAACAGAAAGGGGCCCATGAGATTGGTGCCTTCTTCCTCCCCGGTCCACTTTTGGCTGGGCTGACACCCCTTTCTCCACGAGGTTGCTCCAAAAATCCATCAGGTCGACATCAGTAAAGCACAGCTTTAGGGAGCACTGTACCAAGTGGCCGACAGAAACCACAGGCACACTCTTAAAGCGTGGAAGTCACTTGGTCTCGTGATCGACTTACATCCGGCAAGCTTCAAGTGAACCGAGCAACCGAGCCCCGACTGGTGCAAGTGTCAGGTTCAACCGAGCCTGGAAGCCCCTTCATTTCAAGCAGGCTTCACAGTCACCTCAGCTGCACGCTGATTCCAATCCGTGTGGCAGACCCTCGAACGAGGTTCCTTTCAAGTTCATGGCAAATCATCTTCCCGGTCTTTTCAGGTGGCAAGCAAAGCGATGCCTACTAGACCCGGCATACAAAAGAACGGACTGAGAGCCAGAGTGAACGTTTCTTTTCGCAAATTCAACTGTTTCAGACTGCAGCGACCGTAATGAAACACAGCAGCCGGATTGGCCCATAGGTTGAGCTTGATGCCCCAACAAGGGACAAGTCGAGCGCCCGAAACATATAGGTGGTTTGGAGGTAGGGGGCGGCTTCCCATTTTCCCTCAACAAGGACAAGGGATTCAAATCCCCAGCCCCAAACCACGGATTACCTGATTCCCGACAAGGCAAGACAAATATCTGGAAGCACAAGCAAGCTTCGTGGCGATGTCGAAACATCCTGTGTGCTGTCTCAAGACAATTATGTTCAATCAACCGTTCCAAAGATATCGTGGGTATGTGTCAAATGGGGGCGGGGGGCGGACGCTGAGATTGGTTTTCTTCCGGTTGGTCTCCCTTTGAACCAACCCACAAAAGTGCCCTCACAAAAACACATACCCATACTCTAACACGCCAAGTATCGCCAAAGCGGCATCCTAATCCTCGTTGGAAGGGCTGATTTCCTGCACTCCTTCTCAAATCATTCTGAATGACACAGGTGACACGTAGCCGCATGGCCCGTTGGGGTATGCAGGTGGGACCCTTGGCTCATGTCCCAGCGACTCCACTAAGTCTCTCCAGTTTGGGTATTCCCGCTAGAAACTCCCTTTAACTGGGCCCCCACATTAAACCGCCAAGGGAAATGCAGGGAAACCTGCCCCCCAAAGAGTCATCGCGTTGAGCCCCCCAACCGCAGAATTCAGCAAGCCCGCAGCTTTCAACGTGAGGCTGTCATCCGCGATGGGCTGGCAGTCCGACAGACCGAAACGCGCGACACGCGCGGTTTTTTGCGAATCAATGCTGGAATCCAACAAGGATCTTGCGAATCACCAAGATGTGCAAAAAACAATGTTCTTTGGCTAGGCTCCATGATCAACAAGAATAAAGAAAAAGCAACTGAATCTCCTGTTTGGCAAACCAAAATAGCTCAAGAGCTGAGGGGCAAGCCACCGGCGGGCGAAAACCGCCACTGCGACCGCCGGAAAACTCTGCGCCTTTGGCGGGAAGCCTCCCATAATGGTCATGGCCTGGCGGATACCCCCCCCCCCCGCTCCGGAAACGGAGAAAAAGCTATTGCCACTGCCCCCCTGGCTGATAAAACCCGCGCGAAAACGGAGATCCCCCGCCCCCCACCCACACCACCCCACCCAGAAAATATAACTACCCCCCTCCCCACAAAAAAAGAGTAGACGTTCAACATTCAACACTGCCCTGGAGAGCTGTGCAATCTCCGGATTGCCCTTCCAGGCGTCTGAAGGTTGTTTGGAGGAAACGGTTTTAGTGGTGCAGGGCATAAAAGGAAGTACAGTAGGGACATCATGCGTTTTGGTCGGAGGTATCCTTCTTGGGGCTGAATGTAACGTGAAAAAAAGCCATGCCAAGGGGGTCGTTCTTGATGGTATCTATGAGACAACAAAAGGCTCACACGGTCGACAGCTTTCCGGAGCGCCTGCCCACCTACACACTGAGCACAGAAGGCGCGCAAGTCGCCCACAGTGTGGTCCTCTCCACAAGAACAAAGCCGCCCGCAGCTGGTCAAAAGAAAAAGTGGACTTGGGGTTCTGCCAGTATTCCCCACCAACATGGCAGACAGGTATTTTGCAGGTGTCATGTCGAAAGGGTATTGGTCTGACTTCTCCCATGAAACCAGTACCCAGAAGCTGGAGTTCTCTCCAAACTTCTACGTCCAAATATTCCGAAGCCCCAAACTGGTTTCCCTTTAACTTCCCTCTCACAACCCCAAACTGAGTGCCGACGGACCCCGGTCGAATCAAGGGAAAACAGTTCCTGGGCTCCCAACCCCTGGAGTTGAGTTCGTGAAGCCGCACGGTCCGAAGCGCATGAAGCAATCGAGGCCCGGCGCAATTGATTAACCCAAGATCTCTCCGAAAATCTCGGAGCGCCTTGAGACATGAGTCCCGGTGGGATGAAACACATCCTTAAGCTTTCCCAAAGCACCGGCCTGCTAGCAGCGTTGCAGGAAACAACCGCCATTCCGCATTTGCAATCTTGTTGATTCTCACTTCAAGAGGGTGTCACAGAATGGTTTTGATAAGCATTGGAAAGGGTTCCAGTTTTGACTAACTACCGAGGAGTCCCCCACATCACCCACCTCATTGACAAGGAGGATCCTTCAACTCAGCTGTGGTAAACGGGATGTTCAACATGGTGAAACTTTGTATCCTTAACCACCCCAGGCCATCTAGGCAAAGACCCCGTGGCTTTCTGTTGGGGAACCCAGTTGCTCCTGGGGCTTGCAATGGAAGACCCGACCCCTCCATTAGACACCCCGGGAATCGGTGTTTGGGGGTCTCAAAACCCGGCTGTTTGAGGACCCTACATTGATCGAATTGGAGCGTCTGGGATAAGAAAATTGCGCCTACTTCCATCATAGGTGTCCTTCTAGGGGAACTAGATGGCCCTGGCGGATGATTAAACCACCAGGTACACCAGGAATCGCCATCGATTTTTCCACCAAGACAACCAAAAAGGACACCTACGACTTCCATGGCTTTCCCCAACCAAACCATCCCCCCCTCCTCGTTGAACTCCTGGGCCTTCCGGGAGCCATCATGGAACCGAATTTGGATCTTCGTCTTGGGCTTGGAGTCGTCCACCTGCCGTCCGCGTGGCTTTTTGTTTGAGGCGCTACCCCAGGGGGCGGGTGCAAAGGGAAACCAAAAAGAAAACGGTCGCCATTTTCGGGGTAGCCATATATTGACACGTACCCATAACATGCTAGAATAGAGGGCTGCACATAAGATGGGTGGTGTTCCTGTCGTCATTTTATTTTGACAAAGGATACACTCAAAAAACACACACACACACCTAAGTTGAAGAAGGAACCCCCACGCGGTTGATTTCCTTTTGCTTCCCTTAAAGAAGGCCCCCCCCCAATTCAGAGGGCCATTTCCCACCCACAATGGGGGAATCGCCGATGACCGCATTCGCAGCACTCCTTGTCACAGGCCCATCCAAAAGACACGCCAGCTGTACAAGCAAAATATGTACAAGAGGCTAAGCCAACCGTGCTCGTGCATCCGCAATGCATTCATGCATCGCCGTTCATGAAGTTGCACGCAAGAGCGATATTGACAACATATCTTACCATTTGAAGCTAGAGATGCGTGGAACCAAATGCTGCCGCCTGCCCTAGCAGCCCGCAGCTCGCGTAAACATCTGGGCCTACTTGCATGTGCCTACGGCAGACCAAGCTCTGCAGCCGTGACCAGTGCGCCATCAGGGTTTGCCTGTGGAGGACCTGAGCGCTCTCTAAAGACCGCAGTGTTCGAGCATCTTGGAGAAAGAGCAGCTTGTCCCTGTGTTTTTTTGGGTGGGTTCCTGTGGCTGCCCTCAAAAATATAAGGCTCGAAACCTTCCATTTGATTGCTTCGTTGGTTGGGTTTCCTGATGATTAGACAGTTTCTGAATATTCCATAAGTGAACTCCAAGACCTGAAATCAGAAAATCGGATCCCCCAGGTGAAGAACCCACATGGCCGCTTGTCTTACTCAGATCCCGCCCTGGAGGCCAGTGGCGGGTACTTCCACTCCTTCAAAGGCGCGTAGTCCATGAGCTCGTAGAGCTCCTTCCCTGAGCTTGCGCTCGCTCCGACTCGACGGCATGGCGGTTCTGATCGATCCGGAAAACGTGGCCTACCCAAAGCCGGTAAAGAACCAGGGCGGAGGTCTGCATATATGTTGGGCGACATTTTTCTACTGGCCTCAGACCTGGGTTTTGATGGAACAAAAGGTCCTGGCAAGGAAAGGCCTTGATGTTATCACAGTCGAGCCATTTCGCGGGGAGTCTTCTAGGGTACCTTGTCTTTGTTGCTGTTCCGCCGGGAAACCATAAGCAAACCCCCGCCATTTGAGTGGATCCCCCGATCCCATGTGGTGCCAAACGCCTAAGGCCCCCAACGAGATTGCATTCTATCCAGGAAGGGCTCGAGTGTGCCCTGCTCCTGCTCAGCTTGCAGATGCGAAGCCCTCAATACATCGAGCCCTTTGACACAAACCCACCTCTTGTTTTCTTTTTTTCTTTTTTTTTAGACAAGTACGCTTTCAGCTTGGTTTAAAGGGAAACCAAAAGGGCAACCATGTCACGCGGTCTTTCCTTTGTTGACACGTACCCATTTTCGTGGGGTGAAGAATCTGACAAGGAAAAAAACTTTCAGCCGCGCTGCGCCTTGAGAGTCTGCAGGCACTCCTCAATGCCTTTCCTGAGCCGAGTCATGTCAAACCTACTTGAGGTCCTCTTGAACCCCCCACAAACCAGCTTCAATTGGTGATTTGGATCGGTCGTTTGGTGGTTAGTGATTTCCCATTTTCCCTCCACAAAAGCCCAGGGGCTCAAACCCAAATTTAAAAACCACCAACCCAAAACCACCAAAAGGAAGGAACAAAAGAATATCAACCAAAAACACCACAGATGGATCCGGCCGATGGATCCAAGGGGCATTGCAGCTCTCAGGGTGCTCACCGGATAGATCACGCAATGGTAGCCTCATCCCGATCAGCAGTCAAACTGTTTCGTCAAATTCCTTGTTTCCTCAAGAAAAAGCGGTGAGTTTGCTGGTTTTCCTCCGTCCCTAGACGGCTGTGGCGGTCAAAAAATAGGCAACCCCAATATGGCTTGGTCTGGCAAATGTAAACATGGACGAAAACCTGCTGGTGGTGACTATTTTGGACCAAATGACTCAACGCAACGCAGACGCCACATGGGTCTGTCTCAAAATGATTCAACGTGCCTGCAGCTCCGAGGAATGCAATGCAGCTCCATGTAGGAAATCGGAGCTCATGGAAAATCCGGCTGAGAACGCTGCCCAAAGCCTGAAACTGCTGGAGGGTGAGGTAGGGAGTTTTCCCAAACCTCGGCTGGATCGACGGCTGCAGAACCAGCAAGAATCACAAAGAGAGATGGTTGCCACCCCATCCTCTCCGAGGGGGTGCACCAACCACGCTTCATAACAGCTTTCCATACCGTGACAGAATTTTCTCCTACCACGACGCAGAGTTATTGAAATCTTGTCGTCAAAGGTACCCCCCCTGGCATCCTTTGGATGTTCAACCGACTTTGTCAGGTTGCAACAGTGGGGTAACTCGGGGTAGTCCCGAAACTTCGTGGTTTGAACATCCGAGCGGTCTATTCTTTGCCCCGTCGATGCGAACAAATCCGAGCGGCTCCGTCATGTTGGCCAACATGAAGGGGCCACCGTTGGGAGCAGGGCCAGGCCTAAGCGACACACCCGGCCTGCGGACTTTGAGAGTCACTGCTCAACAGTAGCTGGGCATAAATCCTCGAAATGATGGGGGCACATGAACCCGGAGTGGTTAGGCAATCCCAAGTCATGCTCACCAAACGGTCCCCACTGGAAAACCATCCGACTCACGTGGAATGCACGTGAGCGAACATCGACCACCGTGACATGTCTCGCAGCATCCTCTCTGGCGTCAGGGCTTCATTTCCAAAGGTTCGACCCTGTTCCTCTCTTGGTATCTGCATCGACCTTGGGTTTCTCAGCAGATGGAACCCTCTCCCTGGCCACACGTTTCCATTCAAGGTCACCCGCCCAGTTGTAGGTTGACGAGAGACAACTCCTTGAAAAACAACAGAAAATGTCAAATAATGACCCCAGCCGGGGTCAAACAGAATGTACGCCACCATCCCTTGGTGGATTTCATTTGAAGGAAAGCCCAAAAGAGTTGCTGCTTAAGCAGCCGTTTAACCCATTGCTTAAACCAGACCTTGAGTCGCTCGCATGCCGCGTCATTTGAGCCGCCGGCAACTTCCTCATCTCCTCCGCGAACTTACGGAACTCCTCCTGGACCATCGCCGAGCCGCTTCTCAAGATCGGGGACATCAGTTTCTTGGCTTGACTGTAAACCCATGCAACTCAGGTGGGTCTTTTTGCCGCCTTTTGCGGAAAAATAATCTTGCGGAAAACAAATCGACCCCCTCGTAGTGAAGGATTCCTTGTTGAGGAGGTCGCCAATTTTCTCACAAAAGGTGGCAAAAAGACACCCCTGGTGCAACTTGCGAAGTCCCTATGTTGAGACACGCCTCTCTCCCCCCAGGGTCGGAATTGCAAATGTAGCGCATGGGCATGCCATCCGTGAATAGGAATCCTTATGGTTGTCGAATTTAGTCCCATCAAGGGGCGCATGACCATCTTAATCGGCGCCAAGTAGAAGGCACATATGATCCCACAAATGTCGCATGTTTCCACCAACAGGACATGGGCCAATTGGGGCCTGTGCCCTTCAGTGTGTAGGAAATTCGGGTTGTCCTGCCAACAAATTGTCAGTTCAGTCAATTGCGCATAAAGCCATATGGGTGTCTGTTCTGAAGTCTGTAGGTTCCCTTTGACGCCCGAACGGGAGAGACGCCACAAAACAAAACCTGTGATCACTACAGCACATAAGAGCAGGCAGCACAACTGCGTGACTGGAAAGCAAGGACCCTGCAGGATCTGTGTCCGTAGTAAACCCTGCCCTGTACCGCTTGCGGCTCAGCAACAAATGATCAAACTGTCTGTTTGGTTGTGTTCCTTTTGTTTGTCTTTTTTTAAGTTAGGAGAAGACCCGACATGGGTGGGTCCCTCTGAAATTGCGTTCAATACAACCCAAAGGGGCACGCTCCAAAAAAGACACGCCCAATCAAGGTTGGGCAAAATGTAGTTGAACCACCACCAGACCCTGGCCCGTTGAAGAGAAGCAAAAAAGGGTTATTGCAACCAAGGTGGTTAGTTCAAACCCGTTAAAACAGTGGGTTGACCCAACGAGGGCCGTGTCTTCCAAGCATCCACGTCTCCTCAGATCGCAGGGACTCCGGAAATATCATGTCGGCGCCGGCCCCGACGTAAGCGGTCGCCTTAGGAACTTTGCGCGGCTCCGATCAAGACACAAAAACCGAGCTTCTGCCGCAAAGACATGTTCAAAACCCAGGCGAACTCTTCAAATGGTCATGAGTCACCTACATGTTGCTAAGTAAAACAACGGAGGCTATTAAGAACATCGAAAGCAAGCACACAGGATACTTGGGTGTGTCGTCTTTTAGGCCCCCCCCCCACCAAAAAAAAGGGGGAAAACAAACGCAATGATGTTCCTTCTCTTTAACGCAATGATTCTTTCCAGGTCCCACAAGTTCCTTTTCAACCTAAGGCTGGCACCCGCTCCACGGCCCTATCAAATCCTTCACCCGGCCTTGGGCGGCAATCGCGGCCCCGAAATCTGAAGACTTGGCAATTGGACATGGCGAAACATCTGCACCGAACCTCAAGTTTGGCGCAGCTTGACACACACACACACACTCACACACTCACACACTCACACACTCACATACACACTCACATACTCACACACTCACACACTCACACACTCACACACTCACACACTCACACACTCACACGCCAAGAACAAACAAAGCAGTACAAAGCAAAGCGAAAGTAACAGAAAACAAACAGAAAGCAAACAAGCCAGCGCGCCCTGGGAACATACTGAGAAACAGCCCCACCTTTCCGAGCTCATCGCACTCCAGCCGCATCTGTGCGGGCACAGACAATGAATTCCCCGTCGGAGCAACGGCGCCTGAAGAGAAAGGCGTGGCATGTCATGAGTGGTGGGAATGTAAGAAATGCAAATCAACTGGGTATGACTTGCTGGTGCTTAGGGAATGAGAAATGGAACCCCGAGAAAAACCATCCAACTGGTGGTTGGGGACCCCTGGTTCATTCCCTCCTTCCCTACTCAGCACCAGCAAGATGAGCTTTATGTGCCAACGGGCACTTGGTGGACATCAATACGCAGTACTCATGCCAAGACTTAGACATAGGCTTCCGCTGGGTAATCAACTGGCCATGGGTCAAAATCCAAATCGTACCCCCAGTGAACATCCCAATCCCCACTAAAATAGGTTCCAAAAAGGGTGGTGAATTCACCTACCCCAACATGGTACCATTGGTGTTGACCTACGTCCAACTGGGCTCTAGTCCTAAACCCGGGGCTCCGGCGACGCTTCAGCTGCCCGCTCCAACTTCTCAACAAACACGTCCTCAGCGCCCGAAACTCGCTGCTCGACAGGCCCGGGGTAGGTGATGAACTAGCCAGGGTTCAGCCACTTGCAAACATATTGAACGTGTTCAACAAATTGACTCTTGGCCATCATGTGTTCAATTCATTTCCCCATAATTAGGCTAAAGCGTCACTTTGTGGTCCCTACTAATCTCGATTCGGATCAGATTTTGGCCGCAAAGGTTGAATGATTCCCTAAATGGGGCTCCGGAGGTCCATTTGGATCCGACCAAATCGCCCCTCCCCCCCCCCCCCTGCCCCGACTGCGAGCCCCACGCCCCTCCTCCCCCCCCCCACTGCCCCCCGCCCCCCCGCCCTCTACCCCCCGCACCCCCGCCCTGGTACGAGGTTCGATGGGCACCACTGCCTTGCCGTCCAGGTGGCCGCAACGCTTCGGGAAGACCTCGCGAGGTCTACAACCCCCACAGCGCGGAGCGGAGGCGTCGTGCAAAAGGGAGCCGAGAGAAAAAGAAAACAACGGTCCCGGATTTCCGGCCCGATTGTTCCGGCACAAGTCCACCAACCCCACCTCTTCCCAAGAACAAAAAGGTACTTGAGCTCACCCGGGGATTTCCCAGCGAACCCCAATTTTTCCGGCTGGAGAGTCCACCTCTCTGCAACTCCAACCTCGACTCCACACCTACTTCCACCTAGAAATCTTGTGCTCAAAGCGGGAAATGACACGAACCATGGAGCACAAGGAATCCGAAGAGCCGGAGGTTGGGAAACTGGAGGTTCCCTGCACAAGGGCTCCTGGACTATGTTCCCCGCAGGTTCCATGCTGGTTGGGAGGAGGCCACCCTTGCACTGGTTTCAAGGGGGAAGAAAACGAACCATATTCGGCGTTCTCTGAGGTTGACAGTCCAGGGTTCCCTGAGTTTGACAGGGTTCCCTCGTCGACAAGTCAACTGGCTTTAGATTGGGTTTCACTGCCTCGGCATTGACCCCAACGTAAGCCCAGCTTTCCAGGCTTCACATGACCCGCAGGGGATCCCATTTTGGGGTAGGTGCACCACCCGTTTTGGAACCTATTTTAATTAGTGGGGGATTGGGATGTTCACTGGGGGCACCATTGGTTTTGACAAACAGCCACATCTTTGACCGAAAAGCCACCTGTGATCTCCCAGCGCTCCGAGCTCCGCCTGGTCTTCCATGTGCAGGCCGGCAGCTCCAGCCTCGGTCTCGACGGCTGGTTTCTTGGCTACGCGTTGGCGTTGGCGTCCGGTCGAAGCCGTTGTTCTAGGGGTGGGTTCCCCATTCTTTCCAGGAATCCTTCTTTCTGGAAAACCCGGGGAAAATATCGGGATAACCATGACTACAGCCCACAGCCCCGCACACCTCCGCCAGGTATATTTCATGAAACCCCTAGAGTCCACCATCGATACGACCCCTGCTCCCTACCAAGGCTAGCTTGGCAAGGCACCCAGCAATACTCCTCCACAGTCTTCCGCACCATCTCTGCCTCACGCGGTTCCCAGGTCGGTCTTCCGCGAAGGTCGGGGGTGGGACCATTCCCGCTCAACCCTTCACTGGGGGCGTGTGAGGAGAGCTCCCGAAGCGCAGCGAGCGGCACCGCTGGGCCTCTCCGAACCCCGTGTCCGCATCGGCGATGAGCGGCAGATTCGACATGGACACCACCTCCTTGATCCTGTCACGGACATTGCACTGAATCTCATATGCGTTGGTCTCAAGATAGGGGAACCCATTCTTGTTGGGATTTGGCTGCGGTTCTGGTAAAACAAGCTAAAACAACTCAACAAAGGGTACCCTTTTGTAAAAATAAAGCACGTTTAAGCATCGCCCAAGGCAAAGTTGGCCAAGCGGACTGCCGACAACTCGCGCGCCTTGAGGTGAACTGGTCCAGCGAAAGCAAGCCTAGGCATGCAATGTAACACAACCATGGGTCAAAACCCCATACCCCCAGTGAACATCCCAATCCCCACTAAAATAGACTAAAATGGGTGGTGCACCTACCCCAAAATGGGATCCCATTGAACTGGATGCTGAAAGTGGAAACGGCCCCTGAGACTTGCATTTCGCTTTCTGCACCCACCAAATAACCCCTCACTGATGGTTTGGATTGATGGTTTGGATTTGAACCTGTGGTTCTTGTGGAGGGTGTGCGTGTGGTCAGCAGGTTCTTGATTGTACAGCCGATTCAGTTGCCCAGGCTGTTGCAGATTGGATTTCGTAAGTCGCAAAGAGGGGAATCTTTGAGTTACAACGGAATTCGTTTATATAAAAACCACTGGGTTGTTTCTCTTGTTTCTAAATCTACAACAAAACGTTTAAACCCCTTTGGTTGGACGTATACTTCCTTTAATGACACCCTGATTGGGTTACAAAAAACACGCCGTGTTAAAACCACATCTCTTCTCCGTTGTAAACGCGCCCCAGCCGACTCACACATACGATCACACCCCCCCCCCCCCCCGTGCGCCTACGTCTGGAACCCCAGAGCTGGCCGACAGAGCCCCGCCGCTCAAGTAGCTGCCTGGCAAAACAGCACCCGACGTGCGAACGGCGACGGGTCGGAAGTTCAACGGGAAGTTTGGCTGAAAAGCATCAATCAAGGCATCTGCCAGCACCCCCTTTCCCCCGCCCTTTTCCCCCCCCAGACTTGCTTTTTCTACTTTTTTGCCCAATGTCCCAAATCCCAAGTAGTGTCCAAAAAGCAGACTTTGTTGGGGGGCGCCCTGGTGCCGCCTTTTTGAGGTTCCCCCCCCCCAAAAGCCGCCGTGGCTTTTTGCCGTGACCCACCCCCACCCCCTGGGCCTTTGAAGCCTTGCTGGGCCACCATGCGCCCCACCAGGCCGTTGTAGGCGCCTGGCAGCGCCACGCACTCGGAGGCCTCAGCGCAGGTCGAGGCGGGGAACAGGCCGCGCGAATCGGTCGGACGCCGGTGGAAGGGAGTGGTTGATGAACCACACTCAGATGGTTTGATCCATCCCCCAAACCACTGTTTGAGCCACTGTTCAAACAAGCTCTCTTTTGGTGTCCCTTCAACTGGGTTCCTTGAGGATATCTCCAAACACCACCTACTTCGCACGGGGATCCTGTCGCGACGTGCGGAGTTCCCCACCCTGCTACAACTTGGGAAAAGCAAACGCTCAATTTGTTCCGCAAGTTGCGATTCTTTTGGTTTTCTACGGCACCCCCCAGAACCAAAAACTGGGTGTGGCGCAAAAATTGGGGTCCATAAATGGAACCCTGCCAAATGGAAAGGCGGACTAAACCTGCGTAACCCCAGCTCATTGAATTTGCCCCACTCCCAACTACACCAAAAACGAGTCCATTTTGGGATGCGTCTGGGCGCCCCTGCCATCAGCTTTCGCAGGCGCGTGCCCATGCTGCGGCCCGCCATCCTGGAGATTCCTCTACCGGGGGGGGGGAAAAAAATGGTTAATAGGGGGCGTGTAAGGCAGGGAATTTTCAGGGTAAGGTTTCAGGGGCAGGGTTCATTTTCAACAAGCAAACCATTTTGTCCAAAACACCAAGGGGGATTGTAGGGATTTTTCTCAACATTTTTTTACAATTTTTCATTTTTCAATAAGTCAATCAATGACACCCTTATTCATTATTTACAGTTTTTCAATGAGGTAATTATCACCACCTTATTTGTTTTTTCAACTCATTAATTTTTAGTTTTTCAATAAGTATGTAAAATTGATGATTAATAATATCATAATGAAATAATATTATCAATCAAATTATTGTTTGTTATGTATTCTTTCCATATTTGAAATATGCTTTAAACTTTTCACGTGTCTGCCTATATCATATTTCTTTACTATATCATTACAATAGAAACAATCTACATATTCGTCATCCCGCTTTTCTTTTGCCTTGGTTAATAGTTCAGTTTTATGTTCTTTGTAATATTCTTTATTGTATTGACTTACCTTATCATTATGTTTTTGTCTATATCTTCGTCTTGATTCTAAACAAATATTACAGTTTTTATTTTCGTTCTCAAAATTATCAAGTGCCCTTTTCATTTTACATTTAGAGCATTGTTTCATTTCTTCGGTCATTTATTCCTACTATATTAAGGGGTCTTTTCTTTAAACATTTTCAAGGGTCATTTCTCAACATTTTTTTACAATTTTTTCATTATGAAACAGTCTAAGATTTCAACATTTTCAAGGTTCGGGTTTCAGACAATTTTAAGGCTTTCTGGGGGGACACATCAAAGGTGCAAATTGTGCCCTTATGTAAGATTTAAAGAGCAATCTTGACCATTCACGGAAACCCGTGAAAACACACATTCATTCACGGAAACCCGTGAAATCATTTCACCGAAACCCGTGAAATTATTTCACAGAAACCCGTGAAAAAAAAACACTCATTCACAGAACTCCGTGAAAGGCCACCTACAACCTCAATCCCAGACCCACCAGCAACCCACCCCCCAAATATACTTAAAGAGAAAATACCATATATAGTATAGAGAAATGGCAGGGGAATACAGCACGGGTTCAGTAATTGAATATTTAATATCCAATAATGAAGCAACCATAAAAACAGGGAAGAATAAAAAACCATTGAAAAAACTAATCATCAACAACAAAGAATACTATTACAACAAAGACAAACCATTATCCTCATCACTTCAAAACAAACTCAATCAAGTCAGCAACACACAAGGTTTCAAACGATTTCATCTTCTAAAAAAAGCATCAAACACAATGAGAGGAATTAAAACAATCCAGAAATACAGATTAAAAATAGGAGCAAAAACATCAGAGACATTTTCGGCATTGAAAGGATATGCAAACACATATTCAATATCCAACATACCATTCAAGGGATACAAAGGATTAACATATCTTTTATGGCAAGAAAAGAAACTAACAGAGTTTTTACAACAAACAAAATCAATAAAACTACTGATTGATGTTGAGGTTATTTTTGATAAACTTAGACAGCAAGATGATGATGGAGAAGATGAACCAATTGAGGAAAATATACAAATAAAACACAATATGAGAAGCAGGAGATATAACATTTTGAATGTAGGAGACTTGAAAAAAGCATTGGAAAATATACCTAAAGATATTGAACTACAAATTGAAAACTCACCTTTGAAACATTCAGGATTGAAGATTAACAAGATTAACAAAATCACCATCCACTACGATAAATACAACCCGAACAGGGCAGGTAAATATATGGAACTACCAGAATGGATTTCAAAGAAAAAAGCATGTATCAACATTCAAAATGATGATGATTTATGTTTTAAATATTGTGTTTTATGTAAATTTTATGAAGTCTTCAAGAAAGACCATCCACAACATATGAGACACTACAAGAAATTAATAACTACTGAAAGTCTAATTCAATGGGATGGTGTAAATTTTCCAACATCCAACGATGACATAGACCATTTTGAAGAAATCAATAACAAATCTATATCAGTTAATGTTTATGTTGAAGATGAGAACCAAACCATCAGAGCAGACAGAATAACGAAGATTGAAAGACCATCTTGTCATATTAATTTGTTACGAATTGAACAAAACAACAACGATGCTTCACCAGAGGCTCACAAGCTTTGCGAACACTATGTTTTAATAAAAGATTATAATAGATTAATGGGTAGTCAAACCAACAATCACAAAACAAAGATATTTCATTGTATTTACTGTCAGCACGGTTTTCAATCAGAAAAGCTTTTAAATGCTCACATATCAAAAGGTTGTATGGCAAATGACATTCAACAAACAAAAATGCCAGAAGAAGGAACAACAATGAAGTTTGAAAAGCATTTTAAGAAACTGAAAGCGCCCTTTGTTATTTACGGTGATTTTGAATGTTTAACAACAGAAACATCAGAAGGCATCAAAGGGAACATACCAAAACCATAAACCCAGCGGTTATATGCTTAACCTTGTTAATGCTTATAGTGGAGAAATGAAACCATTTTTATATAGAGGTCAAGATTGTATGGATAAATTTTGTGATACATTAAACAATATTAGAGACGATGTAATGAAACAAATGAAAAATCCAAAAGATATGATTATGTCAGATTTAGATGAAATTAAACATTTAGAAGCTAAAAAGTGTTTCTTATGTAATGGCACTTTTGACAACAGAGTAGAAGCCAAAAAGAAAGTTGCTGACCATTGCCACCTGACTGGTTTATACAGAGGAGCGGCACATATGAAATGCAATATAGACTATTGTTTTAAAAAATATCATATACCAGTATTCTTTCACAATCTTAAAAACTATGATGCTCACCTAATAATTTCTAATCTTGAAAAGTTAAATACAAAGAAAGAACAAATATCAGTAATAGCACATAACAGTGAGAAGTTTATTACATTTTCATTAAACAGACTTGAATTTAAGGATAGTTTCAGTTTCTTGTCATCATCATTAGATAAACTTGTTAAATTAACAAAATATGAAGATAATAAATTAAGGGACAACTGGCAGGAACATTTTAAATATAGTGTCAAAGGCAAATACATTAAAAATGAAAAAGATTTATTTTTACTGACAGAAAAGGGAGTTTATCCTTATGATTATTGTAATGACTTCAATAAATTTAATGACACTGAACTACCAGAAAAGAAACATTTTTATAGTAGATTAAGCGAAGAAGATATAAGCGATGTTGACTATGAAAGAGCAAAACTAATATGGAAACACTTTAACATTAAAAACCTCGGTCATTATCACGATTTATATTTAGAAACCGATGTATTATTATTAACAGATGTATATGAGAATTTCAGAAAACAATGTCTAACAGATTATGAATTAGACCCCGCCCATTACTACACTTTGCCTAACTTTGCTTGGGACGCGATGCTATTAAAAACAGGAATTGAACTTGAACTTTTACACGATGAAGAAGTTTATAAAATGATAGAGCAAGGACTAAGAGGCGGTATGGTTCAATGTGCCTACAAAAAAGCAATTGCTAACAATAAATATATGGGTGAAGATTATGATAAGTCTAAACCATCTTCATATATTTCATACCTTGATGCTAATAACCTTTATGGATTAGCAATGTGTAAAAAACTACCATATAAGAATATTAAATTTGTGAAAGATAATTTTACAGAAGAAGACATTAAATACTACAATAGTGATTACAGTAGTAAAGGTTATATTTTAGATGTTGATTTAGAATATCCGAAAGAATGCCACGACAAACACATAGATTATCCATTAGCACCAGAAATAATGAATATAACAGCAGATATGCTAAGTGATGTTCAAAAACAAATCTATAAAGAATACAATAATGGTAATGACCCGAAAGATGAGAAAACAAACAAATTAATATTAAATGTTATGGACAAACAAAATTATGTTTTACATATTGATATATTAAAATTCTATCTTAAACATGGAATAAAAATCAAGAAAATAAACAGAGTTATAGAGTTTAGACATAAGCAATGGTTGAAACCGTGGATTGACTTTAATACAGGAAAGAGAAAGGAAGCAAAAAGTGATTTCGAGAGAGATATGTACAAATTAATGAACAACGCGGTTTATGGAAAAACAATGCAAAATGTAAGAAACCAAATTGACTTTGAACTGGTTGATACTCCTGAACGCTACCAAAAATGCGTTAATAATCCTAATTTCAAATACAGGCATATCATTAATGAAAACCTTATCGGTGTTGAAAAAGCCAAGAGCGTTATAAAACTGAATAAACCTGTTTATGTTGGAATGTGTATATTGGATTTGTCAAAACAACATATGTATTCTTTTTACTATGACATATTGAAAAAGAAATATCAAGATAATGTAAGGTTGATTTACACCGATACAGATAGTTTTGTCATTCACACTAAAACGGAAGATATTTATGATGATTTCAATCACATCGCCCATCTTATGGATTTCAGTGGTTATGATGTTGAACACAAATGTTATGATAAAACAAATAAGAAGAAACTGGGTTGCTTTAAGGATGAATGCGATGGCAAAATAATAACTAACTTTATAGCATTGAAACCAAAGTCATATTGTTTCAAAATACATAATGAAGCGAAAGAAGAAAAGAAGAGTAAAGGTATTCCCAAACAAAAAGTTAAGAAAGAAATAAGCTACAATCATTACAATGATACATTAGAAAATAACAACTGTGATACAATAACATTCAATTCTATAAGAAGTAAAGCACATCAAATATACAGTGTCAGTCAAACTAAAAAATCATTGTGTAATTTCGACAACAAGAGATATTGGATAGATAATTATAACAGTGTTCCTTATGGTTATTATGGCATAAAGGTTTAAAGACAAAAGGACTTAATAAAATAGGTATAAATAGGAATGAATAGATATGAACATGGTAAGATTTACAAAATAACAGACATTGACTATAAC